GGACTCGCACTGCGACTGTGCCGAGCCCCAGGCCCTGGAGCAGCCGTCGGGCAAGATCAACAAAACCGCCTTCAAGCTGTTCAAGAGGAGGAAATCCGGCGGCCCCATGCCGAGCATCTTTGGGGTGAAAAACAAAGGTGGGGACGGGAAAGGCACGGGCAAAACTGGGATGGTGCGAAGCAAGACGCATGACGGCTTAGCCGATGCCGTGCTGGAGAGCAGCAAGAAGGAGGAACCGAGCGGCGGCGGCAACGGCAGCGACCAGCCGAGCAGGGATGCAAACCCGCCGGCGGTAGCCAGCCTCGGCGTCTCGTCCAACAGTGCGGTGGCCAAGTCACACAGCTTCTTCTCTCTGCTCAAGAAGAACGGGAAATCGGAAAACGGCAAGGGGGAGAGCGCAGACCCGCGGGCTGGCGGCAGACAAAAGAAGGGGCTGAAAGGGATCTTCAGCAGTATGCGGTGGCATAGGAAGGACAAAAATGGCAAGGAGGAGAGGGGGGAAAGCTCCGAAATCCAATCGGGTCTCATTATGCCGGGGTCGCTGACCGCCAGCTTGGAATGCATCAAGGAGGAAACCCCCAAACCTTTGTCTGAGACCCCAAACGGCGCCGTTGAAATTAGCATCGAATCGTCCATCGAGAAGCCCGTTGGAGACCTGCACGTCTCAGCCCAGGAGCCAGATGCGGGAGCCGGGGAGCCGCAGGACAGCAGAGCTCCCCCCAGGGAGGATCCTGCCGCTGCTGGGACGCGACCCGAGGAGCTCTGCCCCGAGCGACCGGACCTGGGCGTGGGAGAGGTTGGGACTGCGAAGGATGCGGCCATAACAGGTGACATTCCAATAACGACTATTCCCCTTGTTGAACCTGAATGTGATAGCGGTCAAGAGACGGCAGCAGCCCCTGACCCTTCCTCTGTTGATCCACCCTCAGAGCAATCGATTGATCGTATTTGTTTGATGTTTGCTGACGTGACTTCACTGAAAAGCTTTGACTCTCTTACAGGCTGCGGAGATATTATTGCGGACCAGGAAGAGGAAGGGGGCGGCGGGAGTGGCGCCTGCGGGAAGAGCACCCCCGGGGCCGGCAAGATGGGCGCCGCCAAGAAGCACCCCACCATGGTGGCCTACCAAGGAGGAGGGGAGGAGATGGCGAGTCCGGACCAGGTGGATGACACCTGCCTTCAGGAGTTTTGGGATATGCTGTCACAGACAGAGGAGCGAAGCCCAGATACCCACATAGCAGGAGGAGGTGGAGGAGGGACAAGGACACCTGAGGGGCTGAAGGAGACCCGAGGGACCGAGGGGGCCCAGAACAGGGTGGTGGTGAAGCGTGGTGGTGTCAACCAGATTCCCATTCATCTCAACCACAAAGAGGAGCAGAAAGTCAGGGAGAAGGAGCAGCACGAAGGCATCCCAAACAGTGATGAGGGCTACTGGGATTCCACCACTCCTGGGCCCGAGGAAGACAGCACCATGAGCATCCAGAAGGAGACCATCCCCAGGGACAGCTACAGCGGGGATGCTCTCTATGACCTCTATGCTGAGCCAGATGAGAACCCACCAGGGGGACCTCCTGATGAACAGGTCACCAGTGTGCCGCGCTCCAAGCCTGTGTCGCCAATAACCACCACGTGCACACCGAAAACACCCTCAAGCGCCGTGAAGGACTCCAAGATACCCATCAGCATTAAACACCTTGCATCTCATCCTCCCAGCCATACAGCAGATGCCAGCAACAGCCACCACGTCGCACACCATCACCTGGCCAAAAGTGAGATACACAGAACAAAAATCCCTGTCTCGAAAGTACTGGTGCGCCGGGTCAGCAACAGGGGCTTAGCAGGGACTACAGTCAAAGCTGCCACATACCAGGACAGTGCCAAAAAGTAGCTGAATACGAGGTGGAAACAAAGATGGACAACAAGTTTGGTGCGTGAAAGTCTGTGTAGGAGACTGCTAATAATGAAGTAGTTTTGCATCACCTGAAGAAAGGCACCTAAGAGGCTTCCTTTCATGTACTCCAGGGGCCTGCACTTCCAAATCCCTTCTTCTTATACTGTATGCCTGAATATGAAAAGTCAGCTTCTTTTCAAGCACTTTTTTTTTTACCTTTGTACCTTTTTTCTGCAGCACTGAACACTGGGGAGATTCATTTTTACATGCCTTTGTGGAAGCAGAACTTGGATTATGAACCTAAACGAGCATCTTTCTTCATGTGAAGCAGTGCCATGAGTTCTCCAAGGATGCAGAGTTACACAAGGAGGAACACCAGGGTTTTCCAATACACTTCTCTTTTAATCATTTCTGGAAGAGGCATGGAGGGAGGGTGCTCGACTCTGAAAATGGTGTTTGCTCTACAAGATATTGGAAAAAATGCCAAGCAAAAAGTGAACAACCTAACAGGTATTTGACCTGATGTAGGAACACGAGCACTGCTCAGCAGCAGACTTGATCGACTTGTGTGCTGTAGCTAACTAAGGAGTTAGGTGGATTTGTCTAACAGGAAAAATATTTTTGTTTGTCCATCTGTTTGTTTGGTTTCAGTCTGCTCTACTGTAAATGGGTAACAGAGAGACCTAACCTAGGCTCAGATGTTTACATCAATACTTGTCCGGTGAGGAATACAATCAGGTTCAGGGAAACATTCTACTAAATGCCAATATATACACACCGTTCACATTTATACAATAACTTGCTCTCCATGTGTAGATATATACATATTTTAGCAGATTTCCTCAATGCTACAGATTTTTATAAATATATATATATATATATACAAAAATCCCCTGTCTGTACTATCTAGAGTGTAAGCAAAAGTTAGTTTTTATAGGTAGATAATTTTACAAGTTCTAAAATTGTGGATCTTTCTGTAAGTACCTTAAACTAGAGCAAAATTCTGTCCTGTATGGGCTCATGCATCCCCAGCTAAGGAAGTCGGAAGTGCTGGTCTTGTTTGAGTGGCACTTTCTATGTGTTGGAGCTGAGGGTCTGACAGCACTGCCATTGCAAACCTCTATTTTCAGGGGTTTATACAAAGTTGCTCTGGGCTTAAACCTTACAGAGAAGGAATCCAGGAAAGAAACATGTTTTTTAATTATTATTTTTAAAAATATATAAATTAGTTTTTGACTATTTAAGGAAAGTTTGGGTTCTTGTTGCTTTTTTATTTTCATTCTTAAGAACTTCAGAATAATCTTACTTTAAGAGAGAAAAAGAAATATGGTAAGCTAGGGGTCCATAAGATGGTCTATTGACCTTGGATCCTCTGAGAAATGTATTAATGGCCAGGATGCTTTTTTGAACAGTGGCTACTGTACATGGGCATTGACAGCATTTCTGAGAAATTTAATAGGTTATAATGTGCCTGAGGACATATTTTTATGATACACTGAAAAAGCTCCAAAAATCATTGAAGTCTAAGGGTAAATAGTGGGCAAAATGCATTTACAAAATATTTTGGTATGAATATTTAATCATCAGACCACAGTTAATATAAAATATATACTCCAGTGTATCTGAAAAATAATATACATTTTAAAAATAGATGTCTATATTATGCAGAGAAATCTAAATTCACATAACTGAAGATAATGGGTCTGATCTTACATAGCAGTTGGCTTTATCGTCTCTTAAATTGAAAGAAAAAAAGGAAGATAAATATACAGAATATGCATTTGAAGAATATCAAGGTTATAGATAACTATAAAAAGCTAGGAAATACAATAAAAAGAATTCCTTTTCTTGCAGGTGTAATTAAGGGGAAAAAGACCTTCTAGTCACAAGGGTGAAATTGGAATCTAGCTCTGAAATTTCCACAACCAGTACCAAATTTCATCCCTTCTCCAGGGGTAAACAGGGAGAAAGGGTTCGTTTTTCTCATCGTTTCCTGCTTATATGGTTTGAATAGAACCTTGATAGACTTCACAGAAGATTATTTTATATGTGTCTTTTTTTAATCTATATATAGCATCCGTGTGTGCTTCTCCCCACGCCTGCTCACGCGGACGTGCTGTACATATGCATGTGTAGAGAGCGCCCCGGGGGCGCGCGGCGGAGCTCGCGCCGCCCATGTCCTCCTCTGCCTGAGGAAGGGATTTGCATATGGCCTGACACTGCTTGTGTGTCCTAGAAAATTAAAGCTGAGACACCCCCAAAAGGACGAATGTACAGACCACCCCGATAGTAATCCTGGCTTTAGCCCTAAACATAACATTCCCGTTTTTATTCCTTTGCTTTCATCTCACTGGAAGGGTCACGTTCTTCCCTGCATGACAGTTCTGCAGAAAAGTCTTATTTCCCTATCTTGCAGCAGGGAGAAATTGTACCGAGTGAATCAGTAGGATGCTGCAGGTTGAGAAGGAGGGAGGATGTCGGGAGCTTGTGGCGGTACCAGGAATACGGGAAGCGCTGATTGCCGCTCCTCATGGCCGCGTGTCTTTAAAAGCACTAGGAGACAGAAGCTACCATGTCTGCAGGACCCGTGTGTGGCAAACATTCCCCAAATGCGTTTTGTGTGCATCATGGCATGTCTGTATCCACAGGAACATAGAGTAACACTAGACTAGCTCTCTCACGACTAACAAGAAGCACCATTAAAACTGTGTTGCCTTCCCTGCATTTTCTCTCTCGCTTTTGTTTCCTGCCCTGCTCTGCCTCCTTCCCCCGCCTGCCGGCTGCGGCTCCGGCCCCGCGCTGCGCTCCGGTGCCACCGGGAAGCTCCCGTGGGATGGGAGGGCGCTGATGAGGGGCTACCTGAGCACCCGCGCAGGCTTCTCATGGCCTGGCTGGTGCCCGGGCACTTTGCAGAGCTCTGGGAGGCTCCTTTGGCTGCTCCCACTGTGCTTGTTTTAAGGACAATCATATCCCTAAAACGCAAATGGCAGAGGGACTCGTGACAGGGTGGCAGTGCGACACACTGACACGGCTTCAGGGCAATGGCTGTGTGACAGGAAAAATGTGATTTAATGGTCAAATCAACTTTGTGTTTATAAAGCTCACCTCGGTCTTAAGTTATTGATGTTTTTATTTCAAAACGTAATCGAAAACCTAATATTTACTAGGGCGTGTTATTACCATAGAAATATAACTCCACACAATGCCTAAAAAGACCATTGAAAGGAGGTTCAAAGACTTTCTTTCAACCTGCATTTATTTCCTGAGAGATCCCTGTAAAACACTATGAGATGCCTAATAGCAAACAATTAATGACTTGCTGGATTTAAAGGTTGTGACACAAAGCGGTAATAGTCCTGAGGCATTCTGTGGCAGTTTGCTCTCTTCCCTATAATACCATGTTTAAGCATATATTTTCCTTGGCTTTGGTAGGTATTAAGGTAGAAATGATGTTTGGAGTCCCAAAGATGTCATTCCCAATTCTGTCGTTGCTTTGGTTTTCTTAAGGAATACTTTGGTTATTTGTTTCATTCGTTATTTTGTGGTCTGAATGATGCTTTGTAATTATCAGCTTGTATGTCATTCATAAAGGATTTTATAGATGAGGACTTGGCATTTAGTTATATATACTCTTTGCACTTTCAGGTCACTACTGGTAAATTTTGTATGTTCTTAGGATATTTCTATATATTGCATAGCCTTTTACATCTATCTACAGTAATATCAGTGGTATACACATTCCTTTCCTATATATCAGCACAAAAGATGTCCTTTTAGTGGCATGAAACGATGTTTTTGTGGACTTCTTTTGCCATAATAGAAGTAAACTTTCCTGTGCTATACATGTGGCCTGCAACAGACACAAAGGGTCTTATTTTCTCCAACGTGCATATAGATTTTGCTCTTCCCAGTAGCAGGACTCAAACCCACGTGACAGATTTCGGAAGAAAATACAGCACTAGAATAAGAAGAATCACGTTTGGTCTCAGCCCATCAATCACCAGCATTTTCCTCATCCACTGTGAACATCCTTACTACCATTCGGGGTAGCAGAGGGCTGAATTTTTAAAATTACATGCATACACTATAAAAATTAATTCGCTGATTATTTTTTAATGAATCTTACTAAATTATTTATCTAAGCTAAGCGAATAATGCACCAAAGTCTTCAAAACATCTGATACAGCTGGCATTTGCAGTGAGATTCTCTAAGTACAGATGAGCCAAATTACCAGGCTCGGCTTAGCAAAGCAAGACCCTCGTTTTTTAATTTTCTAGCACTGGCTGAGCTTGCAGATCAAAGGGAGCCCCTGATACTGCTGTGTGGCTGTGCTCTGAGGGGGTTTTCGCCTGCTCGGAGAGACTGCTTTCTGCAAAGGCTTTTCAGCAAGATAATGGTATGGGGGAGACAGTTCACAGCACCAACAGCCACTTCTAGGGCAGGTGATTATCTAACCGCTGATAAATATGGGGCTTTAGGCAAGGTGCTCTGAAAATGCATTTTCATAGCTGTCGGTATGAAAGGCTGGTGCTTCTGCCTTGGAAAAACCAACTGACACCAACTCAAAGAGATGGCAGCAATGAGTCTTGGCGGAGTTTGCACATGACAGTTTTTGCTGTGGGCTTTTTTTTTTTCCTTTTTATTTATTTTTGCTTTGTTTATGTTTCCACTGAGATGACAGAGCCCCACTTATCTGATCAGAATTGCACTGCTGGCTCTGGGATTTCTTGCTGGGTTGTTCCCTGTGTGCTGCCCTGCAGCCGCCCGGGCCTGGCCTGGGCTGAGCACCCCTCGCTGCCATTGAGGCTTGTCCTGAGCTCCTGCCCTGTCTGCTCTAATCGGGACGTACCAGAATCTCCCTCGCTGTCTAAAGGGAGAGCTTGATCTAAGCTGGCCTGAATCCACAGGAATATTTGAGCTCAAATCTCGTCTTCCCTGTGAATATCTCATCTGGGAAATTTAGCTTTGTTTCGATATTTCCTAGATACAATTTTTTTCTTTTTGTAGAGAAAAAAATGGCAATACACTCATATGCAAAGGACTAAGAGTTGTAGCCCGCTCAAACCACGTCCTGGAGGCCTTTACCCCTGCAAAAGCAGGTCTTTAAAGTTCTTCCTGGCCTAGAAGGCTTCTCCATCCAGAACAGTGAGTACGACTGCCTGGGACCACCCTGTTTTCTTCACTATTTCTCTGGCTCCCCCTCAGCCCTAACACTGCACTTTGAGGCACTGAGGGTTTGACCCAGGCCTCCATCACTAGAAATCCATCGCAGTGTCACTGCTGCCACAAGATTATTCAAGAGGATTTTGCTCCTACTTCTTGTCCAGAATAAATTATTTCCCCTGCAGAACATGCTGTAAGGTTCTTTCAAAGAGAAGCCTCTGCTGTGTGAGTGCATACATCCGAATGAGGATATTAACTGGTGTTTTGCACGGGAGTGGAATACATCCCTCCCTTTTGTGGACAAATCTAGCAGGGAAAGTGTCACTCTTGTGGAAGAGCCTGGAGGCTCTCTGTGATGGAGACCGTGCCCAGACTTTCTGGGTCTTTGATTAGACCACTTCCCTTTTTCCTTTCTGTATTTATTTAAATAAATAGAACCAAAGTTGTAGAGAAAGGAAAAGGTTATGCACTTCACAGGGCAGGAAGGGTTTTAGAGTGCCCAGTCTGCAGTCTCACAAAAGCAATGGCTAAAAGGAGAAAATCACTCTGGCTCTGATATTGCAGCCAGGCTGACACAGAGGGTAACCCAGCGATGCCCACAAAGCTGGAAACCCGGCATTTGCCGACCTTTTCTGACAATCCCTTTCCAAGGCCCAGCTCTGCTGTGGCAAAGCTTCCACTGCCTCCGGCAAGAGC